AGGTTTTAATGTCCCTTTTTTAGGAATATTTGGAGAAAGATATTTTGCATTTATTTGGTAATAGTGTCATTGAAACCAAATTTTAATTTTTTCTTATTAAATTATTTTTAAGGTAACACATAAGGTTAGTCAAATATATGTATAATTTATTTGGTGAGGAAAATGTCAAAAGTATAAGAAAATACTATATGTGGTAAACAACAGTTTTCGTATTAGGATTATCATTACCATCATTTAGTGGGAAACTGAAAGTTAGCAAGGTCAGGTGTTTTACTAAGGTTGCAAGATTGATTAGTGTAAAATGTAGAACTTAAACCTGATACAGCGCTATAATATAATCTTGGTCTTTACAGCACAATTAGAACATGTTGAGTCTGAAAATGTTAACACAGAAGAGTCTGCTAATAATAAATCTGAAAGGACCTAAATAGCAGAATTGACTTCAATTATTCCTAGAAAGGATCTTCTAAAATAAATTATTAAAAATGTATAGATTTTTGAGGCAAGCTTTATATATCTTAAATAGAAATTTCAAACATAGAGGGGATTTACCAGTATCTTTAGCGGGCAGAATTTTGTAATGCTTGGCGTGAGAGGGTGTTAAAAAGTAAAACGGGCATCTTACAGGTCATATTTGGTCTGTGGATATGTTTCTTTGGCTTGGTTTAAAAAAAAAACCCAAACATTTAAAAAGTGGGAGATAGCACATAAAAAAAACCAGCTTTCTGGCTTTTCTTAAAACATTGAAAGATTAATACTGGGTTTATATTTCTGAATGGCAGCAAGTGGCTGGAGCCATAGAGAAGCTGTTCCTTTTAGCTGACCCATGTCCTTTTAGTTCACCACACCCTCTATTCTTTCTTATTACGGCTTGCTTTACTTTACCTGTCTACCCTTCATAACATCTGAGTTTGCAATCCCTCGAATTAGTATAGGATCTTTTGAAGGTCTCTTTGAGGCATCCAGTGGTTTTACTTTTATACAGAATAAGTAGAATATTGCTACACTTCC